AAGAGCCTTTAAGAAATACCGAGAACGTCCCTCCACTGTTAATTTATACTAGAGCTTACTGGTCTCCACAATAAAAATAAGCTGAGGTGTGCTTGTAAACACAAACGTCCTCGTCGAAAACCGATGAAGGTTTATTGTTAGAACGAGCAACCCCAATATAAAGTCCGGTCAGAATCGACTCCAGAGACAGAATATTCGAACGGTACAAATTTAGTATTGCAGATGGAATATAAAGATACTGTGAAAAACGCTGAAAGTTCACCAAGACTTCTACCGGATGCGATCGCATGTTGTTATACACGGAGAATGGCAATTAGTGCGACGATAGGGCGTGTTGCGTACCTGTTTTCTTAGTATTTTCACTGTTAGGTGATTAACACAGAGGAGGCGAGGTAATAAATAATATATATTGGAGGCTGCTCATTTTATAGGTACACAACAATCAGCCTTAGCTGGATTAAGTCTGGGAATACTAACAATCCCAAATTTCCTTTCAGCCTGAGTCGGAAATCGACAATCGATAAAGACTGGTTTTAAAATGGGAATTGAAAGGGCTTTAAAAAAAGAGTAAGTGGGAACGAGCAGATCACGTTTAAGAAATCAGTATAAATGTGGTGATTGTAAAACACCGATATTCAGAGACTCCAAGGGAGAGCACAGCAAAAGATCTAAGCGACGACTTCCGTTCCGTCCTCGTCAAATTTCAAGTCTGCAAGGGCTTCCATCATAGCGGACCGCAGCTGAGGCAAGGCTGCCACCTTGTCGTATAAATCGTCCAGGCGATACTTATCGTATATTGCCTAGGAGAATAAGACAAAATTATAACCTACCCTGTACTTGGATGGAGAGTTTTGACGATAAACCGCCTTAGCTAGGATTTTGAGGGGTCCGCGGACATCTTCGATGGAATACCCGCTAATATAAGCAAGCTTCTCATTCCAGACGTCGTCAATGCTGTCGGAGTGTGCACAAACCGCAAGGGAAAGGCAAGCAGCAACAACGGCTTTAAGATTCCCCGGCAA